GGTCTTTTCAGATCACTCAAACCTCCAATCCTTTATGAAGCAGCCAAAGCTAAATGGTAGACAGGCGAGATGGTGCCTATCTCTTACACCTTTTGATTTTATTATCAAACATCGCGCTGGGAAGACCAACCCTGCGGATGGACCATCTAGGCGTTGGCTGCCTGAAGCCCCCAAGGTTGACCTGATTACGCCGTTGTGCCAACGAATGGCCGGCGAATCGCAGGCGACTGATCACCGCTCTGTCAGGGTCCAGTCGCTGACTGTGAGAGATCTCACTTTGGGCATCCCCTGTTTCGAAGAAAACGAGCAGGGTGATGAATCGATTGGAAGAATCGATTGGGAGGAGCTAGGCCGTTCGCGGTTAGTCCTCCCTGCGCAAGTGCAGACCGCTTGTGCTTCCGAGAAGGCCTACTCCGCTGAAGCGTGTGAGGACCTAAAGGAATTGATCGGGCGTCTTCAAGACGAAGACCTCGAGACCCAGCGCCGAAAAGCTGCCGTAGAGCAGGCGAAACGCGGTTTCATGGGCTGGAAGATCGGACACGATAAGCTCCTCCGATATAAAGACCGAGTGTATGTCCCTGCGGGGAGTAACCTACGGCAAGAGTTAGTGAGCATTCACCACGACGACCCTATTGCAGGCCATTTCGGCCGAACCAGGACCCTTGAACTGGTTAAACGTAAATATCACTGGCCGAATCTGCACCGAGACGTTGTCGAATACGTGCAGAATTGCCAGGTATGTCAAGGAGTAGTAGCACGAAGGCATAAGCCCTACGGCGAATTGCAACCACTCCCTATCCCGTCTAGACCCTTCGTGGAAATTTCAATGGACTTTGTGACTGGCCTGCCACCGGTGACCCTTAACGAAAAGACTGTGGATGCAATCCTTGTTATCGTCGATAGGTTCACGAAATGGTCGCTATTCCTCCCCGTATCTACCACGATCACGGCGGGAGAACTCGCAGAACTAGTCCATAACGAGGTCGAATTACGTTTCGGCCCTCCCGACGGGATTGTTTCCGATCGAGGATCAGTTTTCACAAGCAAGTTCTGGTCAAAGCTATGTTACATTACCCAAGTGCGCCTAAGGCTTTCAACGGCGTTTCACCCCCAAACCGATGGCCAAACGGAACGCGTTAACCAAACACTTGAGCACTACCTACGATGTTTCATCGGTGACGAACAGCCTAGCTGGCCAAAGCTGCTCAAATCTGCCGAATTTGCGTGTAATAACGCTGTCAATGCCACAACCGGTGTCTCACCCTTTCAAGCACTTCTTGGTTACTCACCAGACTTCCGTCAACGAATCGAGGACGATCCGGCATTGAGGGAGGTACCCGCGGTATCCGCACGAGTAGAGAAGCTTGAAAAACTCCGCATAAAGCTGAAGACCCACTGGCGAAATGCAGTCGAAACTATAGCGAAACACTATAATAAGAATCACAAACCCCTGACACTGAAGAAAGGATCGCTCGTCGGCCTCTCAACAAAGAACTTGAAGCTAAAGGGAAGCAAGAAGTTAACCCCGCGCTTCATCGGGCCCTTCCGGGTTATTGAGACGATTGGTCAGCAGGCCTACCGCCTAAGTCTACCCGAACAATACAGCCGAATCCACAACGTCTTTCATATATCCCTTCTTGAACCATGGCAGAAGACCCACATTACTACTACCGAATCAATGCCGTTACCACAGCTCGAGGATAGCGAAGAATACGAGGTAGAGGAGGTCCGCGATGAACGAAAGATCTCTAACGAAACCCACTTCCTCGTGAAATGGAAAGGATGGCCCTCTGAATACAACCAATGGGTATCCCACGAAGATATGGAGAACGCTACAGAAGTAATACAATCCTATAGGAAGCGACAAAAGGGGAAACGCTCTGAATTCAATACCGGAAGAAACCAGCGAAAACCCCTCGAACCGCAGACTAAAACAAGAAGATTTCCTCGCAATAAGAAACTGTAAGGTCAGCCACGAAGCTGGGTTCCACCGGAAACAAGACGCGAGCGTCAAACATCAGCACCCACAGCAACAAAGCCGCCACCAAGGAACGCAACGAACCACCAGCGAAACCATAACGAAACTACCTAGCCTCGCTAGGTAAAGGAAGGGCAAAAGGCAACTCTAGATCCGCTCCAGGGACAGAGGGAAATCAATAATTGTCCGCTCCTCCAACTCATCTCCGCCGATGGAGGCATTATCATCCGCATCCGAATCAAGGTCATCCTGGGCCTCGCGAACCGCCTCCGAAATGCCATCGAAAAAGGCCCGTTTTCCGATTGTCCAAGTGATGTATCCCTCGTCGCCGGGAAGCAGGCGAAGGAGTCGCTTAGAGAAGCGCTCTGCCTTCTCCCTAGCAGTATCAAAGGGACCAGGGGGCAGGACAACAGGAAGCCCAGTCCGACGGACCGCGAGAAGCGCATCGTATTCGTCTTGGGTTTGCTACCGAAACACTAGTTAGAACGCGCCGAAACCCGCGACCTATGGATCCTACCTTGATATTGGTCTTAGTCCCGGTTAACTTGTACTGCTTGCGGTGAGCCTGCTCCGAAACGTCGAAGCAATGCGCCAGATGCCTCATCAATTCGGCGACCTTTCGGCGGAGCTCCGAGGGATAGGGCCAGTCCAGGAAATTATCCGGGTCGTCCGGGTCTATCTGCGATGTCCAGAACAGGTCCCGGGCCCATGCAAACGCGGTACTCATATCCTGACAATCCCCCAACATAGCGGTTGCAGCCTGTGGAATCATTAGCCTATACCCTCAAGGAAACTTGGCGAAACCCACAGGAATACACGTCGAAGCGCGAGAGGAACACTGGCTACACGCAACCGAAGCCTTGGCGTCCTGGACACATTCGATGGAAAAGGGCCAGTCTTCACGGGGATCCCAGTCGATAATCGCGGTGCGGACACAGTGCATACACCAGAGGATCATCAGGTAGACCGGGTTGTCCGCAAGGGGACGAGTCCCGGCGCGGGGTCGTCGAGGCATCGTGGGGGTTTCCAAACCAAATCGAGGGGTATTCGTTGGCGAAAAGGCGCGTGGTTATGAGGTCTTGGAAAGGGGGAGAAAGTTGGTAGAGGTGTGAAAGAGGAAGGGGAACGAGAAGGAGAGGGGGTCTCTTTGTAAACAAAGAAACGCGATATCTTTGTTTGCCCTATCCCACCAGTTACCCTTTCTGCCTATCCACCTCTGATTGGCTACTCCGCTACGTGGTTGGTTACCCCTACGTGTTGTTTACATCTTCCGTCGCTCGTGGGCGAGCGAGCCCTTAGAGGGGGGATAATTGTTATGATATCCTGATATTGAGGTTATTCGCAGACTGATGCCCCAGGCCGCACGAGGCCCGGGCGTTCTGCCAAGAGGGTGCCGACCCGGCGGTCAGTCGACAGCTCCTCGGTGGCGTATCTAAAGGGCTACCCTGTCGGTAGGCCACGTTGGCTGGTTACACAACCTTTCAGCTCATGCACGCTCATACCGTGGTTACCCCTCTTCTAGTTCCCTGTTTTGTATGAGAGACTGTATATAAATTTGGGACCTTGAGGAGTAGGTTCAGACTCCTCAAGAAACAGTCTTGCCACGAATTTCACTAGGTGCTTCCAACCTTACCTGATCAACAGGTTTTCTACCCTGCAAGTAGTTATCTTTACATCTAGATAGGGATTTTAGTACCTAGTATCGCTAAAGCCTTAAGTCCCGTCTTAATAACTATAAAGAAGGCCTTACTAGCTCGTAGTCTCTCTTAAGGGCTAAGATATTAGTATAGATATTAGAGCTTGATATCTTACTTACACAAGATACCGAGAGGATATAACCTAGCGAGCGTGATAAACTTAGAGAGTTTCTAAGAGGAGGTAGACATCTATTACCTTATCCTCTCTAATCTACTTAACCGTTTTCTAATACGTTCTATAATAGGAACTATCTTAATTAGCCCTCGGTAGTTTTAGAGAGACTATCAATATGAATTTCCTACGCTTATAAGTCTAGCACGGGACGTTCTCTCTGTCCCTGCCACTAGCGCTAGTATTAAGCGGTTATTTAACTCAGCACGCAATATCTGCTACTACCGTAGGGGCTCATTAAATACAATAACTATACAAGATCTTATAATATTTATATACACTACTAAATTTGAAGTGGAGGAGGAGCAGCTTACTTTCATCCGAGAACTAGCGACCGAATAAGAGCTTGAATCAGCGGAAGAAGAAACGGATACTAGGCAACCAAGTGAGAATTTTGATCCAATCAGTGATAACGAAGAGGATAGGTCTCTTTTTGCTTCTGTTGAGTCTTCTACTGAGATACGAAGCCAAACATCGCTTGGGAAGAGACGAAGGATAGACATAAATAAGGGACCTAAGCCTAAGGACCACTAGGTTAAGGCTAGTTTTGAGGATGAGGATGAGGAGGAGGATATAGTCCTATTACCTTATAAAAGTAGTGTACGGCAGCGGGTCTCTAGTAGGGTTCGAGTCCCATCTATACGGCTCCAAGGATATATTCAAGGGTAGTAGTATACAAGTGTGTAGTAGAGCAACTAAAAATTCATATAAACCTGACTTACTTTTCTCTTCATAATCAATAGAACTCATCGATATATTCAAATTAAGGGTAATCTAAATACAAAAAATACTAAGAAATGCAGGTAGGAATGGCATAATTTATGCAGCTCACGGGGATTTCTATTTTGGTTCGTTTCTGGGCCAATGGGCCGCCCATAGGCGGCCCTGCATGGGCTGGAGCAATAGGCAGCCCGCCCATGGGCGGTAATAGGACGCCCATAGCCCGCCCCCGGGCGGGCCGAGCTGGCCCAAAATGGGCGGCCCGTGGGCCGTGTCGAGGTCTAGCGAGGTGCATATAAAGTGGAAGCCGATCGTGTTGAAGATCGTGGGCGATCGGGAGATTTCACGTGGTTAGTCAATTGACACGATCAGGAAGGAACGGATCAATGCGGGGATGCACATATGTAAAGACAACAGCCTGGGTCACCTGACTCTACTCTAGCCAGGCTGCAGTATTCTCTGCCGATTCTCGCATTTCCTGAAGATCATGGCCTGTGGTTTGGAGCTTCCTTAACTGCTTATTATACTGGCATGAAAGTACAGCAAGCGCCGAGGACTTCCACATTGGAACGTTGTGGCTTCTTCGATTGCTGAGTATGGTCAGGACAGCAAAGAGCATTGCCATAACCTCAGTGATGACTGGTGCAATATAATATGCCCAACGGATAGAAACGAAGGGCACAATCACCACTCGCTCGCCCTGTGCAAATTGCACGTTAGGCCCGTTACGTAAATAATCCGTCATACTCGCTGCCATGCCCTCAAAGCGCTCGCTGATATCGACGTCCCCTATCAAAGCAGCAGCTAGGCCTAGGTTCTGGTTCGCAAAGTTTCCATCCACCCATTCGGTCACGATGGTTGGAGATGTGAAGAAGTTCCCCAGGGATATGATATTAACATAGCTTATTTCGAACGCGGGGATACTGATAGTATCTGATTCGGACTTGTTGGTGTATAGATAGCCGCTTAGACCGTCCTCAATTGTGTATTTCCAGGGATTTATGGTACCGAAATTGACTTCCCGGATAATTCCGAAGGAAATCTGACTACCGTTTGCGCTAGCACCCTTGTACTCATACGCTGAGAGAGAGAGAGCACTCCGTGATGTTGATGTTCTTAGGTTGGAAATTATGGTCTGGTGTCGATCTGTAGACGGCGAATCGAAATATTTCAGGAAAAGTATGGGGCAGAGGCTCTCCATAGACATTCAGCGTGGATGTTGCATTCATGGAATAACTGGTGCCATACTCCGTGAAGAGATGCCGGGTTGGAAGGATCAACCCCCCGGGCGTGGTCATGTTGCAGGGAGAATAGTCATGATTATCGTTACACGGTGCGGAGCGCAATGTTTCTTGTGTGACATTTCTGCAGTCGCTCTTGAAGCCTAGCGATACGTATGATCCAGTCCACCGACAAACACCGGGACAGCTGAAAGGTGCAGTTTTGTAGGTGCCATAAAGTGCTTGGGCGATAGCTGATTGCATACTGGGATCCTGCGGGATGCTCCCTAGTCAAAAAGTGTTAATTAAACTCGTAGAAACATTGCAGACGTCATGATGCTTACCAAAACGGGCGTTTGCTATTTCTTGTGTCAACTCGCGGATGTATTGATGGGAATATCCGAAGGCAGCCTGAGAATCAGGATAGCCGATGTCCCGCTGTTCGAGCAAAATCACTTGCTGGGCAAATGGCGCAAACGTTAGTCGCAAAATGGTGATGAAAGCACCAATCGTAGCCAGGTTCCACTTGATGGTAGTGATAAACATGAGGGATCCCCAAAGGCCGCGCGTGGCTGCGTCGAAACTCTCAAAATGTGAAAGCTTTTTAGGCCCCGTCTTGAAGTAAAGCCACTTAAGTTGGCCCATGAATTGACTAACTCCGTGCATGACCGCAGCCGCGTAGCTCGTCGTCATGATAGAGATTGTGGCACTGAGAGAAATAGGCGCGCTCCAGTCAGAGAGAGGCTTGTTGTCCATATGCCAGAAGATGCAGGCAATACCAATGGTAAGGGCAAGGCTCAATATGGCACTCGCTATTTCCAATAGCCATTCCCCGGGCATGTACACAGCATCGCGTTTATACTTTGAATCCGGCCCCTGGTTTGATTTGACAACCTGGAGCAGCTCAAGATCGTCAACCGTAACGTAACTGTGATTATCGGACATGGTACTGTGAGAAAATAGTGGTATTTTGACAAAAAACCTTCAGATGGATTCGTGGCTGCCATTTTTAATTTATACATAGGCCCTCACCATTACCGTTTCTCAAGCTATAAGGCCTCTGGCTAATTGGACTTACATGCAGAGTATTTTTATACAGTGACAAAATCCCCATGAATCTCGTCTCACTATGAAACACTGTTCATCAAATAAACGGGATCATAGCGTGCGATATAAGTCCTGCGTTGTTAATATAGTGGCGGCCCGAAGAGGTCTATTCCATAATAGGAAACCCCTCGCGAGCTCTAGCTTTTTGTAGTAAGACCCACATTCTAGAAATGGCTGGCTGAATATGTCTATTTGAAAATTCCCTATCCCCGTGTATGGGGCGGCTTAATGGCCATGCAGGTTTTCTGAGGAGAAAGGTATATTGTTCTCATAAATATTACATTCGGCTGGGTATTTTGTTTATTGGGAGTGCATTAAGAGTGACTATTCGGTAGGCCAGGGCTTTCACTGGAGCTAGCTTTGAGGTTGCGTACGGTATCTGGTTGTCTTCTTGAAAACACTCATCGCCAATGCCTATAGAAACAAAAATGAAAGCTATCAAAGCAATAATGGCTGTTGAAGTCACAGCTTGCACCGTACTACATTATGGTGGTCTAGCGGCTGCATTTTTCCTTGAACTCTTTATCAAAGGTTAAGGTCTAGCAATTCAAGTGCACAGCCCATGAATATTTCGGGGTTCTCCAGATTAGTATTCCAAGACCTAATTGTTACTTCGAGAGTGGGATTCATAAATTGACAAATATTTATCTGCGACTGTTGAAAGTCTAAATGCCAGTGAAGTATCGCATCCGAGTCATGATTCTGCACATCCTTAAAGAGAATCAATGGCTGGGCTCCAAAAGAGGCTCCCGGAATCCCATAGAGCTTTGACCCGTTTGATCCTCTGGACAGCTTCCGGTGAGTATATCTCTCCGATCTTTCCTCCAAGGAGCTGATTGTTTGGAAAAGTCAGCGCGGCAACGCCATTATTCGCGTCATTCCGCCGCCCGATATTAAGCATATCTTCCATGAACTCTCTTGCCGGCTCATGCGTATTTCTCTCAGTGTACCAAACAAGGACCTGAAGAAAAGCCGTTCGATCACTTCCCTGCAGAAACGTGCTTCTTGGCATTGGGGAAGTGCTCCAAGTTCCCCAAAAAATAATGGTATGTTCCTTTGCATCCGGATGGCTGTCACCAAATCGTAACCAGGCATGTATCCCCTGCTGGATTCCCTCGAGGTCAGCAGATGCAAGTAAAGCGTTTCCGAGTTGCTTGTATCCGCCAGTTATGTTTAAGGACTCTGTCCCGTCGTTCATTTTGTGTAGTGGGATGGTGGAAGAGCTGGCCGTTAGGGAGTGTTGGAGGAGATCTGGATCATAAAGTTCAAGAGTGCATCGTTCCGCATCGGATGCTGAGCCGTAATAGGCAGCGGTCAGATATATAAGAGGCTCTCCTACTTGTGAGAGCCCTGGCGGCGCGCGCAGAAACATAATGCTACTAAGAAGTCTCGATTTTGAGCGACCAGTTACGCGTTCTTGTAGCTTCAAGAAAGCCATCGTCGCGTGATCAAGCGCCGCGAGAGGGAAGGTAATTCTTCGGACCGAAACGCAGTCATTAGGCATGTTGAGAACAGAGATAGAGAAAGTAGGCATCGTCAATGAAGTGATGACGCCGAGCCCATGGCCGGCACCTCGGATTGCAGAGAAAAGCTCACGTTCAGCGCCCGTGGACGATGATGAGAGGTGCAAAATAAGACCGTCTGCGGTGATCATCCGGACCTCCATGATATGCTCTGCAGCTAGACCGTGGATTCCGTTGAATGAGGAAGAACCGCCTCCGAGGAGAAATCCAACCATCCCAACTGCGTTGGAATTCGGGGTCACTAGCCTGGAATGTCAGAGATACTATGGTATATGGACGAATTTGCGGCCACAACAAACTCACATGTATAGCATTGCTTTTCCGCACATGCTTGAATGACATCTCCTGCAGTTGAGCCGCCTCCGATGGTAACTGATCCTGTTCCGACTGACACATGATTGAACTTTCTCATATCAAGTAGTACTGACTTTTCGTTAATAGGAACAAATGGCGAGTGGCCTCCTCCCACAGGTATGACCCGCCAGTTTTTGGTGGTCGCAAGCTGTATGGCTGCTATTATCTCGTCCTCGCTTGAAGGAACTATCACCATAGCCGGACGGGATGCTCCCAACTGCGACCACCGACCGGGGACATCCTGCGCAGAGACAGAGGAGACTGCAGTTCTCGGGCCATTGGGCTTGTTTGAAGTATTAACGAAAGATGTCATGTTTACAGATTTTGTACTCGTTGAGGACAAATGTAGTTCAAAAGAAACCAGGGCCGATGACCAAACATATATTCAAGCCGATTTGTTTCGGTATTTGCATCGAGATATAGCCGGTAGAGAGAGTAGCCGTTCTTACCACACTAAATGCTGACATATAATCGAGTAATCTAGCTAGCTCAACTTCCGCAAGTCTCCCCTCGCTAAGAATCAATTCCAATTAAATATAACATTCAGACCGAGTGGCAAATGGGCTAAAAAAGAACAGACTTTGCGCACAGTCTTGGGGCAAGAACAAAACCCATTTCAAGGCGGTGAAGTTCAATGAAACTACAGGCGTTTTACCCTTGTATTTACGATATATTTATAATGAAGATTTTACTCCAAATATCTATGATCAAGACACGCTTTTGCAGTTGTTGATTCACAATCCGAGGCAAGCTCAGTTGGCATGGAAAGTAGATCGGTGACTTACCACTGCAATACCCAAATTGGTATGTATTCTTGTATGCGATTTTACATGTTTTGCGCGACTCAGCAACTATTATCCCGAGGTCTTGATCCTGTGAGCAAAGACACCTTAACGTGACCCTTACTCGGATTTTTCCCTTCTCAATGAATGAACCAATTGATCCTAATTCCATGCCAATTCGTTTCTCCTATCCGCCAATGATGCTTACAAGCAACAGCACATGCAACGGCTGTTCACAATAATCCACCCGCCTCCAGGTGATGTCTGTATACTGTACTGTAAGGATGATGTAATTACGAAATTGATCAGACCATTACGAAACCATGAAATGACATCTAATATTTCTGTTTCAATTTCCCTTTGAAATTCCTCGGTCTTATCCCTGCTGTACTGCCCTAGTGTAATATACAGTGTGGAGCTGCCAAGAAACCTTAGATGTGTATTGACATTACTCCGCACACATTTCGGATTGAGCTATCTGACTTACAGCGAAGATATTGTCTCTTTCACAAGGGACGGTAAGATAAGCGAAGGTAATATTGCCCTCGTTTCCACCAATCAGGGTTCGGGATAATCCTCGCTGGCTCCCCTTCCCCCAAGTCGGAGCTAAGCCTGCAACCTCATTTTCTCTTCCGAGAATCCCACAGACACCACAGAAGAATCGATAGGAACCACGAAAGAGAATAATAGAAAGAAAGCCAAAATGGTCAACGTGGCTGGACGATCCAAAGCATGTCTCACATGCAGGGCAAGGAAGATTAAAGTTCGTATCCATGGACAACAACAAAGCGCCGCGGCCGTTAGATGGACTGACACGATCTCGGTCCAGTGTGACTCGACCAAACCAGAATGCACTAACTGTACTCGAAACGGTCATATTTGTCGGGGCTATGCGCGCCCGCGAGTCTTTGTGAACTACGCATCTACCAGGGCAACCCAGGAATTAGCCACGGTACCAGGGGTGAATATAGCACTGAAAAAGTGGCGAGTTTATGTTGGCGACCAATCGCGATCAGAAAACATGGCCAGGGCTGATACTCGCATTGCGGCGAGTCCAGACCCAAGGCCCAGTGAATGTATTCAGTTTCTTGCTCGATTCCTTGACTCGTTTTGCCCTGGCGGTTATGAGTTTCTCGCTCCCTCGGAAAGGTCCGCCCATTTCTGGGTCCGTGAACTTTTCACTGTGCATGGCCAGTCCGCCCTCTTGGACACAGCATTTTCAACTCTTGCCACCACATTCGTCAGCCAAAGCAGCCGAAATCTCCAATTACAGCGTCAGGCAGCCATGCTTTATGACCGGTCACTCCGTGAACTCGGTCAAACAATGAGTCGTAATGAGGCTGCAGCAGATAACCGCGTCCTGGCATCCATCATGTGCCTGGCATTTGCGGAAGTATGATTGAATAATATGCAGCCCAGTAACTAGTATAGACAAGCTAGGCTAACAGCATTCCATACAGGTCTTCAGCCCACTCCGAAACCAGGAACACGGCTGGATCGCTCACAATAAAGGCGCGTGTGAGATAATTATGTCCAGGGGAGATGCCCTTCTCAAGACAGAGCTAGGCCGCAGCATTTTCCTGCGCTTCCGTATCTCCGGAGTAAGCAGAGACTTTCTCTATATCACAACAAGTGTATATGAGCTAACGATCGACATGTTGCTAGCTTTACGCCGCAATTGGACGTCGGGAGGCCTTCAGTCTAGCTGGCCAAGAGTTCAGCCGGCTTTCTAGATTTGCAAATGCAAACTACTTTGATTTTCTAGTGGAAGAAATGATGTCCATTCCCCAGCTCCTGAAAGATATGAAGGACCTCGCCACGGAGACTGTGCATGCAGTGGTGCACAGTAGGGCGCAGAAAATCTCAATCCACGCAAGTGCAATTATGCGTGCTATGTTCCGCTGGCTTGCAGACTTTAGGCTCAAGAACCACCCGCATCCCTGTGTTTGGTTTGAACCACTCCGTGATATTGCTGAGAGCAGCGACCGGCCGCTTTATTCAGAGCAGCTGAAATTTCCCAACCTCCTTGTGGCCCAAGCGATGATCCATTATTGGGCAACCATGATCATACTCCTGAAATGCGTGCTTTTTTGCGCCCCCATTGTCGGCAATGTCGCCGCGGCAAGCCCATTACTCGGAAGAGAACCCAGTGGCTACCTAGGTTTCTCACCTGCCAATAATGCTAATGCCTGCAGACAAGAGCCGACAGGATCCGGGCTTGACATTGAATTGATCCAGTTTGCGGATGCAATAGCCTGTTCTGTGCGGTATTGTACGAGTGAGAAGGCAGGGGCAGCAGGACCTCTGGCCCTTCTTTTTCCTCTTTGGGTTGCTAAAGATTTGCACGAGAGCGGAAACGATACAGCTTCTCAGCAGAAAAGTGAATACTGCCTTGGAGTGTTTCGGACGCTCATGGAGCGAGGAGTGAAGTTTTCGGAGCCCTTGCGAAAACACTCGCCACCTCAATGATTCCCAATAATGTATTCTGTGATGCTGCCATATGGACAATCATAACCATCCATGACTAGATTTGACATCTGTATGCTTTTGAGAACCGTGAACAGGATCGTAACCGTAGTTTTCAGCGTATGCATTATTCTTTCTTGTATTGTCATCTTTTTATTTTTGTTCTTTTTAAGGAAAGAAAACAGAAAAGTGGCATTACAAGAAGAGAGTGTGATGTGCTTTTTGGATTTAATTCAAACGGCATGGATATACATGCTTCCAAGAAAATTACAGTACAGAAGCTAGTGTACTCGTCTACCGAGCTAGTGTACTCGTCTACCGAATACTAATACTAGACTGATGGGCGCTTCGCCAAGGGAAAGCCAAGAATCACCAAACTAAGCCTCGAGCCTAGATCACGGGATATCTTTCAGCCTCGCAATAACTAACGCGAAAGAGTAATTCCTATTCCTTGGCTTGGGATGGTGGAATTCTGGCCTGCCTCTGTCAAATAGTCTCATCTAGGCCCTAGTCTTGGCCGGTCTGACACGTCGCTATATGGGGTTTTTTAGCTAAGCAACTATCTACTTGATTATTCAAGTAAATTGAGCTTGAGAGCCGATTGGAGGGATAAGATAAGATAGCTGGACTTCATTTCCACAAGTTGACGTTGAACTATTTCGCTCCCTAGAGTGCAGGTAGTTATCTTACTGCTAATTATAACACAAATCCTCTCGGTAACAGGTATAAATGCAGGCGCCGGTATTTCTGAATACAGAGACAATTTCGTCCTTCTACCAGTCCCTTTTCCTGCTCTTTGTGATATCGTGAATCAATTATCTCAAATTTTCTCACCAAAATGGACAAACAGTCTCCAGTGTGGTGTATTACCGGTGCGAGCTCTGGTTTTGGGCGCGAAATTGCACTCTCAGCCCTCCTGCGCGGCCACCGAGTCATCGCAACCGCCCGTGACACCTCCAAGATCCCAGACATCGAGCAAAAGGGTGCCTGTGTCCTGGCCCTCGACGTATCAGATCCTTTTGAAAAACTCAGCGAGTTTGCCTCGACCGCAATCCAGGTCTATCATCGCGTGGACTACCTGATCAACGCCGCCGGTTACATCCTCGAGGGCGCAGTAGAGGAGGCTACCCCGGAAGAAGTGCAGCGGCAGTTTGCAGTCAATGTTTTTGGTACAACAAATGTCATTCGGGCATTCCTTCCCCATCTTCGTGCGCAGTCGGTGTTATCTGAAATTGGCGAGCAAGTACACATGCAGGGTCATCGTGCGACCATAGCCGTCTTTGGTAGTCTAGGCTCGTGGGTCGGCGGGGCAAGCTATGCATTCTACGCTATGACAAAATCGTGCATGTCTTTACTTGCAGAGTCTCTTAAAGAAGAGCTGGCTCCATTTGACATCCAGGCTACCGTGATAGAGCCGGGGTACTTCCGAACGGGGCTTCTTAATCCCGGAGCCAAGGTATCGACTGTGAACAGGATCCTCGCGTATGAGGATGAGATAACTCCATCGGGGCGAGTGCGTAAAGGTCTGGAGGCCCATAATGGTCATCAGCTTGGTGACGTAAAGAAGGGGGCCTTGTTGTGTGTCGATATTCTCACTTCGTCGGGCATTGCGGAGGGCAGAGACTTGCCTTTGAGAATTGTTCTGGGCAGTGACTGTGTGGATGCCATCAGAAATAAGTGCACATCCACTCTCAACCTGATAGAATCCTGGGCGGAGATATCTGTCCAGTCGGATTATGTGTGAGAGATATCTCGTCAACAGTTATGCGCAGCAAATGGAGTATATTTCTGTCAGTAGTGGTATGAATTTCACGCCTTCTGAAAGGCCGCCAAAGTTTATTCCAGTAGAGCAAGCTTAGTAATACGAATTTCATCTTAGTTAATTATCAGAGACTCTTCAGAACAAACCCTGACGAAGCTGAATGGCGGGTTGACTCAAATCACACGCGCACAAAATGATGTAGCAATATTTTATGATGGTCTACTAAATTCCATTATGAAGGGTGGTATAAGTTCTAAAGATTTTCAACTCTCATGACAGAAGAGAAACGAGTACTTATAGGTTGTGTAAAAAGAGAAGGAATGACTGCATCCAAGTATGTACCTTTCAAGTCAATCACAATATTGTGCATTTCTTGGGTAAACCGCAAGGACCCCCGTCACTCACCTTTACCTTTGCGGGTTGACTCTGTCCATGCTCTGCCGTTTGGTCAGATGGTACACCTTTCCTCTCTTTTGGCAGGTCGTCTCTATCATGTATTCATGTGAAAGCGACCTTGGATACAGCCTGATAGAAGGCCTTGCCCTGCTCCTCCGCAATGCTAAATTCAAGTGCAGTAGGCTGACGAGAGCCATCGGCTGACTAAGAACGCAAATTTCTGTCAGCCAGGTCAAGATGCGCAGCCTGTAGGAAAATGTGACAAAGGGGAAAAAAAATGTAGAATTTAACCTACCGCAAAAGTCCCAGCACCCCAGGGGCTCCCACCATGGATTTCCTCCAGATTGCTAAGAAGCGGAAATACGGATTTGTAGCCAAGAGGCACATAAATCATACCGTGGTGTGCCAGAGTGCTCATAGAAGCAATGCAAGTTGACTCCTGCCCACCTCCAAGGGTTCCTGACGACACAAACAGTCCCGCATATTTCCCCCAATAACCGCCAGTAGCCCAAATGCCGCCTGTCTGATCCCAAAAGGTCTTCCACTGCGCGGGAAAATTACCAAATCGAGTAGGGATCCCAAAGAGCACCGCATCGTAATCTTTCAGTGTATCTGGCGTAGCGACGGGGTACTCGGACTTAGGAGGTGCGTACATCTTGTTGAGGACCTCGTCCGGAAGAGTCTCCGCAATTCTGGACAGAGAATCAAAATCAGCTGCTGCTCAAACGGGGAGGACTTCGAGACTCACTGGTAGATGTCCGCTTCACCACCGGCGTCTTTTATTCCCTTAGCCTCAGCCTCGGCCAATGCCTTGATATGTCCGTACATGGAGTACTAGGATAAGCGTATTCATTAGACACCGAATTCCCAAGATCCAAAGGAATAGAGAAAGTGTTCTTTGTTATGAACATTCTGTGATTGGCTCTCAAATGACAAGAAAACATACAAATACGACAGCAACCTTTGGAGCCATGATGAATGTCCACAGGAAGACAGAAAGAGGTTGTTGAGGTGCTTGTTAGATAAGGGAGATTGAATAAGAAGTCTTCAAATCAGTAACTGGATGAAGAAAAACAAGTTAGGTTTGGATCTGAACGTTTATATAGTCCCCCCCCCCCCCCCCCCCCCCTTCAGGACGTCTACGTTATCTGTTAGGGGGGAGGTCAGTTCCACAAGCACGATGAAATTACTGAAGGTACGGCCTAGTTTAGATTAGTATACGTGACGTTTAGCAGCTCCATTTGTCATTGATTGAAAATCCGGGCAGGTGCTTACACTCCAAGCTAAAATGTTCTAGATCTGTCACTTACATGTCATGACCGTTACTCCGTAGTATACATGTCCTAACTTCGCCCAATCTAACGCAATGTAGTTAGTTTGCTAAGCCTCAATCTAAACTAGGTTTCATTCATCTCGCAATTCTCACGCGCATGAACTTGTGTAGAGACCGTCTGAACGACTTTGGAATTAACCCCGCACCTCTTACAGGATGTTAAAAAATCACAAAATGAATGTACTGTAAGTAGGGCCCGGATGAATGGCGGTATAACCGCCGTAATGTTAAGAGTAACTCTTTACAATACAGGAAATCTCTGAAACTTGACAAAGGGAAATATCTAGCCAAATCACACGACTTGATAAAGCTCAAAATTACGGCGACAAAGAAAGAGAAACACCACTCCTTTTTCCGGCAGATTGCCTCCTTGCCAATTAATTCGTAAAGAGTTCTACACCATACTGTATTGATTCATGTGTCATGACGAGTACAATCAAACGGTATCAATAATTTGGAGATAAGGTCACGTGATTGATGCGACTGAAAGAAATGCAAGCTAAATCTAGCCATGGGAAGGGCAACCTTGAGGTGTCGGCGCTCATGGTGATACGCTCATCATAGTGACGCCCGGTGATTCTCGCCGGTAGCTTCGAAACATCTCAGCAGAATCCGATTGCTTTCGCGAATCACATCGTACCTGGCATCTCTCGTTAGCTTACTAGCAACTGCAAGCACGGTCCTACTCAGCTTATATGAACTTACCCATTGGTAACGTCAAGATGGTCCAAGGGCCCCTCGATGTCTCTACCATCTGGTAGAGCACTCCGGACGTGTTCATCCAACTTTGTTTCGCCTCCCAAGAGGACTGACGAAAGAGCATGAATCTCCACAACGCGCTCGCGGCGCAGCGTTTGGAACTTTTCAAGTCTTCTCGGGATATCCTCCATGTTTCTAAGATTGCTTAGCAGTATACCAAGGGCAGCTGCGTCTTCAAGGCACTGGCAAGCTCCTTGGCCCGTTGTCGGAAACATCTGCAGAAGATGCCGTTCTAGTCAGTCAAGTGATGCAATTTTTCACCATTGTGAAGCAAGCATACCGAGTGCATAGCATCGCCAATCAGGACCGCCTTGCCTTTTATCCACTGAATTGGGGGACCAGTAAAGTTGATGTCCCAATCGGACGATGTCCCAAGCAGATCAAGAGCCCTTCTAATCTTGGGATGGAAGTCTTTGTACTCCTCACAGAGTTTGCGCCGTGATTCTTTTTGATCTGCAAATAACCAAGTCAGATTTCCCCACTCCTGAAGCAGCATTCAGCAAAAGCAGAATCGGGGCTATTATACCAAGCTGCTGTCTCCGTGAAATCCGATATCCTGCCTCTAAATCCTGTAGGTCGCCACTAGAATGACTGATTAGTTGAACGGGCGAAAGCGAGCATTGTGGATATAGGATCAGTTTTACCCTCTACACGCCCACCATGTCAATAGCCTTTTTCCATCAGTGAAGGCAGAGAGATGGCTTTCCTTCGATCGAAGGAAGGGACCAAGAACCTCGTCACTAAGAAAGGTTTTGGTTGGGGTTATTGAGCGGCATACTCGAATTGGACTCTTCAGCAGCTTCGAGTTGCCACCCCAGCTCTCGTCTTGTCTCACAACTGACTATGAATTGGGTTGAAATGAGCGCTGGTAAAAATTACTGATACAAACACAATCAACATTGCAAAACTTACTTTTTCACCATCCGCGCCAATGATTAAATCTGCGGTGAAGCTCGACCCATCCTCGAAGAAAATAGTTCCTCCTACTATGTCCTAGTCCCATGGTAGAAATTAGCGAATTTTTCACCCATAAAACCCCAAGCAGCAAATTTATATCATACTGTTTTCACAACTCCAACACCAAGTCGCATGACGATCTCCGGGCCTTGGTCTGCTCGATCCAAGGCGAGCCTTGTCAATTCCGCATGCATATCGGGTCGATATAATACTGCCCAGCGATCGCCCCATCTCTAATAATTAATGATATAGGGTCAGCTGCTTACCTATCTTCCCTTAGACCAGCCTGCTGAGGAAAATTTACCTTTAAATGACTTTCTAAGGGTATGTCAACCAAAGTTTGCAGTGTAATTCCACAGCTGACTATGATCTGGGCGTCGGCAATTGTGAGTAGCGGGAACTTAGGCAGCCTGAAGAGGCACTAATCAAAGTTACCTTCTGGCAGTCAACTGCTTTGGCGTTTTTATAGTCAAATCCTGGGTTTGTTTCGAATTAGCCCTTATGTGTGCTAGCCCTTTCCATGTAGGTGTTGGGTCCGCGGAATGTTCGTACCAAGAGCAGTAAGGACTCTCGCTCCGTTCGGCGCAATAGAGATTGCGAACCCTGCCTCTTTGAAATGAGCTGACCTTTCGAATATCTTTCCAAGCGTAAAGAGTATTAGTGGGTGAAATTTCGATAAATATATCATTTTCAGGGAACAGACTGTGACTCTATGGCCAGATTTTCGGAGGCAAAGAGCAGCAGCAAGACCAGCAAGACCACCGCCGACGACTGCAATTTCTAGCGCTATAGAGGAACTCATATTCCATGAAACAGAGAGAAGGAAATTTTTACCAATAGATGATGGAAAAGGAAAGTTCGAGTACTCACAATCCCCTTTATACCCCCGCCCCGCGTGCTACTTCGAATAAAATATGGGAAATGCATGTACCTTCAGTCAGCTTTCCCAGCTGGAGTGCGAGTTTTTCCGCATTAGCACTATATCTAGATTTATTAGGCATAGCTGTCCTTCCACTTAGTATGGAGAGGATCTCGCTCATTAATTCCACAGAGGGTAATTTGGATGGAAGTTCGACGCTTGAAACTTTATGTGGGATTGTAATCATTACTAACTTACACAGGAAACTTTCACTTAATAATACGTGGCGTAAGTAATAGTTACTTGATTGATACATACCGCGCTAGTTCGACGCTCTGCGGTCTGGATTGCTGACAAAACACTTTAAGTAACTAACTAATAGTTAGTTAGGTTAATTAAGAAGGTTAGTTAATCAGTGAATTATTCCCGAGGACTACTAAGCAGACTCAAAGCGGAAATAGAGGGGTATAAAAGGGACTAAATTTGGCCGTGACGGAGAGACAGATGAAATCTTCTCCAATTCTCATTTCTTGCCATCGCTACTCAGTCAATCTTGCTCACGGAATCTATCCATTGCTCACTAAAAATGTCAGAAATGCATAATACGGCAGCGTGGCTTCCAGCGGTGGGGGCGAAATTAGAGCTGCGCCCTGCGCCAGTCTCTGAACCGGGACGAGATGAGCTCCTCATCCAGGTAGGCGATATTAACGACATGTGAGCCCCGCCACACGGCTAAAAGATAACCTCCCCAGACCGAAGCTGTCGCCATTCAACCAGCCGAATACAAAATCCAGGATGGTGTCCTTCCGTTCCCGTTGACATACCCCACAATCATTGGCTGTTCGTGGTAGCCCCAAATACATCTGTCTATGCGCGGTTGTTAACTGTAGAGCAGTGTGCTTCGCTGGAAGAGTAGTCAAGACTGGTCCCGGTGTCACCAGGTTCCAGATAGGAGACCGCGTTGTGACAAACAGCGCAGGAACACTGCGCAATGACGCACGCTTCGGAGCCCTGCAGCAGTATGCGCTCAGTACACAACAGCTTACAGCAAAGGTATCAGTTGTCCGTCTCTTTCTCCTTCTTCCCCCCTCCCCCCGGGAAGTAATATATCGCAGTTTATAATACCATCTGCATTTAGATCGGCGAAGCATCTTTTGAGAAATCGGCCACACTCGCCTCCAATCTCTACGGCGCAATTAGTGCACTTCTTCTCCATCTGAGACTAGACAGGCCTGGCTCTGCTCCAGACCCACAGAATAAGTCAAAAAGAATTCTCATATGGGGTGCATCCTCCTCGTTCGGCGCTGCTGCCGTCCAGATAGCTGCCAGCGCCGGTTACTCGGTCGTGGGCGTGGCGTCCGGATCGAATGCCGCGCTGGTCAAATCGCTAGGCGCATCTGAGTTTGTAGACAGGACGCACAGATCTGCAACCGAGGCTCTGATCGCGTTGGGACCGTATCATGCTGTGCTTGCCGCAGCGGATTCAGCGAAGGACCAGGAGACGATCGGTATTATGTTGGCCGCGCAGGGTGGCGGCACGTTTCTATCTACTATGGGTGTGAGGGCTGGTGTGAAGCTGCCGGATGGGGTCACTGGGTTCTTCGCCCAGTTCTTAGACGATTACATGGACCCGGCGAATGCAGAATTCACCGGGTGGGTGTGGTGGGAGTATCTGGAAAAGGTACTGGCGAATGATCAGATGCATGTGCTTCCGTCTCGAATTATGGGAGGATTGAGCCAGGCTCAGCTAGCTTGGGATCTTCTCAGACAGGGACGTGTCAGTGCAGAGCGGCTGATCATTCAGCCTAACGCTGAGTAGAGTCGAGACCGAAATTTTATAGGGTAGATATTACAATTAAACAAACTGCTTTCCACTGAGAGCGATGTTCTTCCATACGATACTGGTCACCCAAAACACAGTATTTGATGCGATATTACTCAGAATCGTATTTTAGCTCTCAAGATTCACCCTATGGACGGTCCTAGGGTAATGGATCGGTCATCTCTTCGAATGGAGGATTACCGAAGAGCATAACCGAATTTGTACATCGAGATCGGTTGATTGGAGCGCACATTCCGTAATCGCAATTATTAATCATTGTCCTGAAGCCGCTGGATAGAAATGCTACAAACTCATGCCAAGGAATCAATCCAACTAAGAAACCGACAAACAATTCTTCTCGTTGATAAATTGACCTGGCAAATCGCTTCTAATATGGTGCTGAGGTTAAGGCTGAAGTTGGGGTTGGGGTGGTCAGCATGGCCAGATATTACGTTATATCCAGTAGGTGGTTACCAGAGGAACATAATCCAAATAATATGAGCAATCCAGCAACTCAGCTTTAATACATGGCCCACCCTCCACTAGCCGAAACAACCTGGCCAGTAATCCATTTGCTCTCCTCACTAGCAAGCCAGGCCACTACGGGCGCGATATCCTCCACGGTACCTATCCTGTTTTGTATAGGGGTTTGGCTTTTTTGCATCGCGATAGTCTCCTTGGGAATATTGTCCATCAGTTCCGTCTGGACAGGGCCCGGGTTCACACAGTTAACAGTATGCCCACTTAACCCTAGCTCAGCAGCCCAGCATCTTGTCAAGCCTTCCAGTGCTGACTTCGAAGAACAATAAACAGAAAGCTGCTTAAACCCATACCGCCCGCCAACAGAGCCAATGTTTATAATTCGCCCTGGGGCACGTAAATACGGTAGGACAGACTGCAGCATGAGCATGGGGGCGCGGACGTTGAGGTCGTAGACAAACCCAAAATCGGTCACTGTGATCTCCTGAAGAGGCTTGACGAGCTCAACGCCGGCGTTGTTGACCAGGATGTCAATGTGCTCGCCAAATTTCTGGATTGTTTCTGCGACGATTTTTGCTGGAGACGTGGGTTCCCGCAGATCGGCCTTTACAGCGATAGCAGAGGAACCATTGTTGAGCGCGTTGATACGTTGTATCAAATCATTCAGGCGCGCCTCACTTCCGGCCGATGTATATGTAATTGAAACCTTGATAACATGTTAGCTGATTTGCCCGTCGACTTTGATGCAAAGTAGTTGAAAAGCTCCTACCTTGGCTCCATTCTGCGCAAGTTCAAATGCAATGCGCTCGCCGATACCGCGAGAACCTCCAGTGACTATGGCTACTTTACCGCTAAGGCGAATAGCGTCATGGAGAGACATGCTGAAGGTGTGAGCTTGAGGAAAGACCTGGAACCTGAAAAGGGCGTGCCAAGAGCACAGAGAATGTAAAGTTGATCACAGTGAAAATCAATTCACTATAGACGTTCTTAAATCCCATAATCCTCCGCCCGGGGGACTCGCCTTTTATCATGTAGACGGGAAATTAACTCCGATGTCTCCGTGCCGGTAAAATCCGAGGACTCGCCTTTTATCATGACGTGTTTCATCTCGTGATTCTGGCCTTGGCGTTAGACAATCAGCGGCAAGCCTTAACTTTTTATGGTAAAAGATTGGCTTTGTGTACATTTTGTAAAATACGTCAAATTACAGTAATACAGTATTGTAGAGTGCTGACTGACTGAATGTTGACAATACGCCAGCTTCTCTTGGCCCTAGGCCACTACCCGTGGCTTGACCACCCTCCCCTTTGCGGGTGAGGGTGGTCCAACTTCCAACGCAAAAAACTTTCCAACGCAAAATCTACCATATTCTATCAACTTCAAATTACCACCACCACCCATAACTATGCTATAATTCATTAAGAATTAATTATAATATTATCTAAATAGTACTAGATTATATATTAAAAAGAAAATATTCAATTGGACCTACGTGGCGCGTTGAATTCATATATATATCCAGCGCATGGAGTAGCCGAAATCTATACTATCTGACAAGTTATATCCTCAACGAGCTATCTCCCTCTGTATCTACCTCGAAAAGGCCAAAGGGCTCAAACATACCCTCGATACTTCCATCCCATGCTGTTTGTTGGTTTTTCTCAGCGATTTCCCTCTCTATAGCCTCCCTACGAGCATTCTCTCTGCGTACACGCTGTACCCACTGCTGGTTCTCTTTTTCAGTCCTCTCGGCCATCCTTCTCTTTGCATCGCGCGGAGTAAGCACTTTGGCCTTGGTAATCTGCCGCTTTGACCTATTGGTAGAAGTGTACTCGGTCTGCACCCTTCTATACTTCATAATTACCGAATCCTTAAGGATACTCTCTTCGAATTCGGTGACAGTGAAGCGTTGTAAGCGCTCAATCCTTCGGTCAATCTTCTCTTTCTTCTCGGATTCATCTCCTAAAGGACTCTTAATAGTCCTTTGTAGCTTAATAAAGCTTTTCTTAACACTCCGTGGAGTATGTGGTAGTTCAATTGAACTAGATGAGAGGGTAGGTGATTCGTTAGACCGGGTACGGTCTATACCGCGCGCATCGTCCCCATTAATCTGGTCAAATCCTCGAAGTGGTACGAATTCCTCTTCCTCACGGTCGGTAAGAGGTTTAACTATCAATTTAGGGTTGAAAGGATAGATTCCACGCTTTCTAAAGCTTCCACGAATAATTGATGGTGTAAAGGTCTCTTGACGAATCTCTCGTATACCACGGAGGAAAACAGCTTTATCGGTAGGATTACCACCCCATTGAGTAACCGTACGATTCCAACTCCGAAAGTAGGTCTTATAGGTAAAGAAAGCATCTCCGTCCAGAGGTTGTAGGGGATGTGTGGCGTGGGAGATAAAGCAAAAGGGTAGGATTCGGGCTTGCTCGCAGTACTCGAAGAATTCGGAGGTTAAGTGTGTAGTAGGCTAGATTTTGCGTTGGAAGTTGGACCACCCTCACGTGCAACGGGAGGGGGGTCTTCAGCCACGGGTAGTATACAGACTCTAAGTTGTGCAAAGCCTCCAGCGCATTTCTTTACTACATACGTATGTCTTCCCCCCCCTCCTTCCCCCCCCACCGAACATTCTAGGCTCCAGTGCATAACAAGAACCAGCCCGCCTGTGAATGATAGTATGTGAACTATGTGTGACTAGATATATAAAATAATTCAGGAGGGTTAATAAATATCTTTACGAAGCTCCACCACTATGTCATTAACGATGTCTGGAGATTGCGGATTTTACTGAACTCGTGGATTCGTTACGGCTTTTTATGCATTGCTCAGCTCAAATGATTGTGATGTTTTATCTGCATTGTTAGCTACTATAGGTCTGTCGAGACTTACAAAACTGTCTTTGAAGTCATGTCACATAAGTAGCACGTTTTGACCATTGAATAAGAAGCGAAGAAGTGCTTTCATGAAAACAAACAGCTTAACGGCGCCTGATCTGGGTGTTTGGGTTATTCTACATATACTTAAGCAAATTAATATGGTGGTTACAGAAAAACTAAATTTATGACTCTTAACTACAGTAAAGCTACAACACGAGTGAATATAGTTGCATTTGTCGTGACAAAAACCGTTAGTCATTTAGTTATTTCACTACTGGAACCGTCTGAGGAGACTCGAGTTAAACGATGTTCTTGATAGAATAGTGGGAAAATGCATCTTATTGTGTTGATGTGAGGTGTTGGTGACATGAGTTAGGGTCAACGGGATCCGAGAGAAACAGGAATATTTGACATTTCTTCGATAGGTCTTCTTAAACCCTCTAATGCTCTTCTCATGAGAAGCTAAGTCTAAAATGCTAGCTCTGCGCGAGGAATTGGTTTCAGCTCACGGCAGATGACGTTAGGACAAGAGTTCATGTTATCATAATTAGTTTTTATGAGAAAATAGGAAACAAACATTGGCAGTCAGATGGACGAATGAGCTCGTTTGCGACAGCCCTTCAAAAAAGTTGAAACCCTGGGTTTAAGGGTCAAGTGTGATGATAATTCTCTAGCTATGCGAGTAGCCGCAGCTATTTGTAGTCACAGTAGCTGCCTATGTGCTTAGAGTGGTGGTGACAGCCTATTCGCTACCACCACAATATCTATATACCACGTAATTAAGGAGCAACTCGCGAGGGGTCAGGGCAAAGAATACACGCAGGCACAATATGCCCTGTCTTTGCCGTGCTGACGGCCTTTTTGCTCGGGAAATGTGAAAGTATGGGCCCGTTCTAGTAACCGCTATGGTCTTCAGTATGCTAATCATTTGATCCCTGCGTCGAGCAAGTGAAACGCGTATAAGAGTTGCTCAGTTATTAAATTCCACAAATTGTCATATGCCCCTCGATATCATAACATCTTCTGGTCTTCTGAGCTCAAAGAATGGCAGTGTGATATCATGTACTCAATGTCCCCAAGGAGGTGCCACATAGTAGACAATTCCATGCGCCACGGATGCAACAATTGGCCCGACCTAAATAAGAATAAGTATAGAAGTCAACGAGCGAATAATTTACCATCGGGCAAATTATGTCGACTTACCCAATGTATCCAGTGATAAGTCGGAAATGACGTAGCCACGAAGACACCGAAACACCGAGCAGGATTCATAGCTGCCGAAGCGAATGTGAGATGATTGCCTAGAAATACTTTCGAAATTTCCTTGGTATATAACTCACAAGCACCAGCAAACCCACTTCGCACGAACGCGGATGCCAAGCTCAACGTTCCAAGCACCATTCCGACCAAAAAAGGCGACAAAGCAGGCCCATATATTTTCCCTTGACGGGGGTCTAGCCCGACTCCAAAGGACAGGAAGATTAGAATCAAGCTAAACATGAATTCCAAAAGAAACGCTTCATCCATAGGGACCATCGATTGATCGATTACGCAGCCTCCACATGTAAAGTCACTAGCTCCGTATGCCTTACGGAGAGTAAACCCCGCTATAGCCCCACCGATTGACTGGCAGAGCACATAAATAGCCATTCGTGGGAATGAAATAAGACGCGCCAAGAAAGTTGCAATTGAAATAGCTGGGTTGAGGTGGCTACCACTGACGTTAGAGAAGGTGAAGATGAATAAAGTCAAAAAGAACCAATTAATAATTCCCCCGAACAGGGGACCGAGGAAAGCCGTCGTAGAGAAAATACCTGATGCCGAGGATGGCACGGTATTAGAAGACATAGTTGGACGCACAGAGATCCAGGCCGTCACAAAGACTAGTAGCATGGTACCTAGAATAATGAGATTAGTAGTTTCACTAATTTTTACTGCGACGATAAGGAAGGGATATGCACTACTCACCTATCATCTCAATGAAACCGAATCGCCACAAATCCAGATCCCAAAAGCCGCGCAATTTTGCTCCTTCGCGAAACGACATAAGAGGAGCCGCGTCGGGAAATTTTTTGAGCAAAGCTGCATTTTGGGGATCGCTGCGATCGACGACTATTTCCTGATTACCGCCAATTCTTCCGGCGAATGGTTGAATCACGGGTTTGAGTTGCGACGTCTCGTGAATTGATTGATGCTCTAGGTCTGATTGATAAATGTGTCGGGCCTGCTCAGGAGAGAGGGTCATGGTTGCGAGTGAGTTTATGGCAATGAACGCTAGAACACTCTCGTGGGTTGCTACGGTCAGGGTAACGCAATAGTAGAACAGTTGCCCTTGTGTCGAAGGAATGGAAGCAATAAATAAAATTGAGGTGTCAATACCTGGTATTCCGTTGACTTTGGGAAAATAAATGGTTGGTGATGGAGAGTGCTGTCGAAAAGGAAGAGGTCGTGATGGGGATCATGAGTTGTTGGTAAGATCCTACTCAAGATTACCTGCAAATAATCCTATTGGTGGTCTCCCCGTCGGTTTCCGTTCCCTTGGAAGAATACGTTGCACAGACGTTAATGAGTCTGCGATTAATGAATTATCATCAAACAAACAGGTCTGAAAGTCGCAAAGTAGCAATAACAGATCGATGGCGCGATGAAAGAGAAAGGGAGTGAAGTGGTGAAGCGGTAAAACGCTATAGCGACAAGCTATTTAAGTCTACAGGTACAGGACTTGGTGTATGCTCTAGTGCTACGGAATGATTATGATAATCTTATTTACCAACTAGTCAAATAGTGATTCTAAATACACCTTCGTGCATCTGGTAATAAGCGATTTCATCGAGGACGTGCAAATTCAAAACTATAATAAGGTTTTGTGTAATTATCTGTATTCTATAGCATTCCTAGAGTGCCATCAGTCTAATCTTTACGGGCGGCGCATTAATATGAGCGCTAGCCAAAAAGTGAGGTCGTTAAAACTATCTATTTAACCACGTTCACAACCGCCTGAAGTGCGAATCTTCCTCTTTCTATTACCGCTTCGGCATTGTATGCACGTCCCGTTCACTACGTATTCTTTTTGAAATTTCATATTGTTTAAATACAGAACTAGAAAAGTGATGATAAGAGAAGAGAATATAATTTGCTTTCTACATGTATACCACACGTTATTAACATATGTACTTGTAAGAAAGTTACAATACATAAGCTAGTATACTCGTCTATGGAATACTAATACTAGACTGTACCAGTCAAATAGGTGTTCGCCAAGGGAAAGAGATGAGTCACTGAACTGCGCCTCAAGCCAAGGTGTCAGGGTCGCGATAACTAACGCGAAAGAGTAATTCTTACTCCTTGGCTTAGGATGGCGGAAGTATGGCCTGCCTCTATTATCGGTTCTTATCCTGGCCCGCTTAAAACATCGCTAGTTAACTATATAAGGCTTAGTCTATCCACTTTACTATTCGAGTATGTTAGGCTTAAGAGCTGATTGGAGGGATAAGATAAGATGCAAGGACTAGTATTTCTGAGATACAATTCCGACTTTCTATTATTCCCTTTTCCTTCTCTTGTGATACCGTGAATTGATTTGCTCAACCAAACATCAGATTACCTGTACCGCTTAGTGTCATTCGCCCTTGAACCGGTGGAGTATTGACATCATAGCCCACTTGAGGAGGCGACGGGCAACATTGTCCGAGCGGTCGATACGCTCAATATGTGGGCGCGATTCCCTTAAACAGTGCCCAATGCAAATCCACTACGCGCCTAGCGCGAATCTAATGGCAGGGAGGTGCTAAGATCTCACCGTAATGGGAGGTGGCCAGGAGCAGATGAATATAACTGACCTATACTGTCCCACCACCGCAGCAACATCGACTTAGAAGGGGCTTGGCGTGGCACTGACCACCTTACGGTACAGAGAATTTCGAAAACAGATTCCCTCCAGGCATACACGGTTTCTTTCCTGGCGCCCACTCCGATTATGATAAGCCGGATACGGTAAAAGCTAGGTAATTTGGCTATTTTCTAGCCTAGTGATTGGCTGGCAGGGCCCCTTTGATTTCAAAGATCTAGGTCTAGACCGTTAGTAGGTCCGGAGAACGTGTGTCTCATGAGCGGAATTCGTTTTCGAAGACCATCTGGACATACTTGACCTTGCCCTAAAATATTTAATTAGTGCAGCAGAGCTGCTGCAACATGCAACTACAATATTTTGGAGGGGCACGATTACAGGACTGGATAGGGACCCACTAGCTAGTCTATTCTTCGTTGAGTTTCTTGTCTCCGACCAGCGAGTCACGCTAGGCTACAAAAGTGGCGACTACACGTGGACAAGCCTCAGCTTCACCTTATTGGTTGACAGTAGATTCGTAAGAAATCTCGGGCCTCCCGGGGAGGAACCTGTACGTAATGATGGTATCCGACCAGGGATGGTCTCCACAGTCCACATTCTAAGCCACATCGGGGGATACCACTCTTTCTTTCGTTTGCCCTGACAACGGAGTGCCTAAGACCTTTTTCCTTAATCGGCCATGAGTGGACCCGGGAACTCAAACAGCCCTAGAATGTCCTAGAGCTTTTACAGTAGAAATTTGTGTACTACTCCTCTTACGCTGTTATCTTACTAGCTCTGATGGACTAAATTCAAATAATGTGCGGTCCAATTGTGCCTATAAGTAACGGGTTAGATCAATAAATAACTCGAGCCTGTCCACATCAAAAACATGCTCCCTTCGTTAGTCCATAGAAACATTCTGTCGCAAGAACTCAAAACGCACTGCTCGGCATCTAGTCACCACTCACCAGTTAAAAAAAACAGATACGGATAAATACGATGGGAGACTTTTGGAACTCTCCAAGCCCTAGCCTTTTTGGTATGCAATACAAGGTCGGAGAGATGCAAGTACTAGGTTCTAGAATGGTGAGTCCGGCTTTTTCAATCACAGCGGAAATACATGCTCAGTCGCGAAGAACCATCAAGCAGGATGCCAGGAAATCGAGATCCCCTCCGCCTTCCGCACCTTTATCCCTCGCCTAGTGACGCCAGCTGAAGAGGACTGCAGCTTACAGTTACTGGAGGGTTATCAGATACACAAGCTCGACTCGAAAGTTTTCTCCAACACTACTATTTCGCCTTTGCCATCCACTTCAACTTCACGGGAAGGCCAGAGCTTAGTCACATGTGCAAGAGAAAGGGAAAGCCAGAAACTTGAATCAAGGACTGTAAGCTTCGTCTAACCCCGTATGATCTCCACCAAAGGAGCTGACAGTAGTCATTCGATTCCAGGTGGGGCGACGCACGCAAAACCGCGACGCGCAGCGCCGATTCCGCGGACGCAAAGAAGAGCGTCATCAAACACTCTTGCAACGCGCTACAGAACTCGAAGCAGAGTGCCTAGAGCTCTCAGAGAAATTCAACCAAAAGACTGAAGAAGTATCGAAGATCCTGAAGGAAAAAGAGGCCCTTACTAGCGAAATACAAGATCTACGTAAGCGGTGGCACCTTATGTCAATGCTGCTGCGATTGCCAAACAGGTCGTTATCACTGTCCAGCTTACTGGGGGCTGATTCGTCTTCAACTTCCGGTTCCAATTTTTGCTCTTCATCCTCACCGTCTGCGGTAAAAGCTGAGCCGCTAAATGTGTCACTGGAAGACTTGTTCGGGTGTCTGCAGGGTCTGCTCTTACCAAATGAGACGTCCTCCAGCTCCTCCCCTCTTTGTTCTGCCGCTTAGTCGTTTAACTCTCTTTTTCGTCCGGGGAAGGATTGACGGGACCTCTCTGTTATCTTTGCGGTTTTCTTTGACATTTTGTGACAACGTCAGCGAATTATAATTATGAATCTGCTCTTTGCTTCACGAGTGCTTAGTAGGTACAGCGTTAGTCAGGGTGATTATGAATTTCTCGGCCTCGAGCAATCGGTTTGAATCAGCAAGAATACTTCTCTCGCAGAGCACCGAGTGGCACCTGGCCGGGAAGACTTACCGCAGGCCATCTTTTGGCTTGACCGACAATCAATAAACTTCCGCGATGGTGTCCTCAGTAGAAGAGCAGCTAGCTATCCAAGCGATCTCATCTTGTAGGGGTCGGGACGGCAGTAGTACATGTCGTATCTCCTTCGAGCCTATACATGCATCCCTTCACTCTACGTCTTCTCAGCTGTCGATATCACAGGGATCCTCATGGATTAGTAATTTTGTTAGTAGACTGGCTTGAAGGTGCTTCTTCAAGTGTCCAACATCCTATCTTCGGCAATTGAAGACCGTCCACCATCTTCGGCACAGGGTGGTAGGTGTAGGTTGGTGAGGGGGATGGTGTCATTGTGTTGGCCGATGTGGTTAGGCGGCGTCCAGACGGCCCGTGGAGATCGCGAGTTATATTGAGGCACGCGCGGCTTCCAAGTTCGGCGTCCATTGCGGATTATCGGAGGGAGATTTCCCGCCCAAAAAGGAGGGATTGCCCCGGGGAGTGTGGCTACATTGCAGCAGTGCTATCCGCTGCGTGGTCCACCTCGGACATCGGAAGAGGAAGTGTTCCACGGTCTCTCTTGCTTGTCCACATGCACACCGTTCCGTCTCTGCAACGTTGATCCGATAGAGGTAACTATTGAGTCTGGCCATGCCAGTCCGGAGTTGGGCGAGCATGCTCGCTTCTTTCCACGATAATCGACCATATAGCTGTCGAGTATGTAATGGCTAGGGTTCCCGGGGTGTCCTGGGATTGGCATAACATGTCCTGACAAAAGTCGCTACTCGTCCTAGGAACTAGATTTTTGAAAATTCTATGACTGAGACGCCATGGCCGGCATATAAAGGTTAATCCCCTAACCAGGTAGGCAATACAACAGATTTGTCCAACCTCCAAGCATCCAAAACTTGCACCAACCGGTTATTATCTCCCCTTCCATGATCTCGGTTTTATTTTGTTTTTCAAGAAAGAAATAATGGGCCAATATTGGCTAGTGGTTTGCCCGTCCAAAAGCGAGTACACAACACAAGTACTCGGAAGAAAGTTGTCAGAATTGCTCTTTTCTTCATGGACCGTCATACTGTGTCAATTGATTGAAGACGAGTGGGCTGGCACGCGGCTTATATGTATTGGGGATTATCTAAGTCCAGACGATCTCCCAGCTACGATTCGACAAGACAACCTTCACCTGACTTCCAACGAGAGCGATACAACATCCAAGCCTCTTCGCTACGATGTCGTAGAGGAAAACTTCGGGCTCTGGTCTTACGAAGAAGACATAGAAGAAGACTTCGAAGAAGAAGTGACTGTTGTGGCAATGGAAGCATCTGTCAGACCCAAAAATTGAGCCCTGAGAAACTTGACTACCAGTCAATATGTCTTGGAGGACGAGCTGTCGTCTGGAATCACCATTGGCCAAATAATCCTGATGCGAATCTGCTGGTCGACTGGAAGTTCAACCGGCATTACGGGAGGAGGATATCTGGCCAGGGGGGACTGGGCTGGGCATGAGTTCGACATTGTAGACGTTGACAAGCTGAAGAATGAGAAATGGGAAGATGTTAGTGAGGATACTCGCGATGAGTTCAAGGCTCTGTGGTCAAACCATTTCGAAAAAAACTGGGAAACTGAATGGAGAGCTTGACACTTCATGAGCAGAAAGCTGTGAAATTAGTATCACCACTTCTAATATTTTGAAATCGGTTCGGAATTCTAAACTACAGTATATTGTAGATAGTCAAACAAACACAGATGATATTAAGAAAGCAATGAACCTCTCTAAAAGCGGTATTAAATGCGACAGCTCATCAGCTTAGCTTCCTAGACACACAGTGATGTCTCGCTTGGGTACTGTACTTTTGGGGCGAGATGTGTCTCTGTGGTGTTCGGGGCTCTTCATTGACTACTTGTAAGGAGTTAATGACTCTGTGCAAACCCCAGCATGCAGACGTATTATTGCAGCTATCTAGGCCGCTTAAATTGTCGATGCGAGTGGACGGCGCTTCCCCTTCACCGTTGCACGACTGACACATTCGACGGTCATTTCTAGCCCCACTCGGACCAGTCTGTGTTCACCACTCTCTTTTCACCACCCTCTCTTTTCACCACCCTCTCTTTTCACCACCCTCTCTTTTCACCACCCTCTCTTTTCACCACCCTCTCTTTTCACATTCCCTTTCACTGCTCTAAACCCACCTATTTCAAAAATCACCCCCCACCCCCTTTTCGCGGTCCTAGCGGCAGCTTTCGTTACAGTTCGGACAACTTTTTTTAGATTAGCGCTCCACCTTGGGCAACTACACGTTAAATTCGTACCATTGTGATATGTGCGATCCTGTAGTTATTCAGGTACTTATTACTGTAGAATTCGAAATCAGATTCCCCTCCTGACACACACGCTTTCTCTCCCAGCGCACCACTCCACTTACATTAGGCCTGATTTAGTCAACAACAGTCCCACCAGCCATCTCAGATGTATCTCTGGTACAACTAACAGTTATGAACAGTTGGACCAATAATTGACTTGGAATGCCTATGGTGTTTTTCTGGTCTAGAGGCATTGAATAGCATCAGTTAGTGTGTAAAATAGACTAATGTGCCCTCAAGCATGGACTTAACAATGAACAACACTACTATGAGGTCTACTTTGTCAGCCTGACCTACAGAGATTGCTGTGGTGGAAAGCACATCGCTGCTAGCACAAGCCCGCTCGAACACTACAAGTTCGGCATATAACTGGTTCGGCGAAGCTGAGCGTTGAACTCAGAAGATGACGCACAAGATCCATTTTACTGTAGCTAAGATACTGTACCAGCCTATGGCTTAAGTAAGTGTTAGTAAACGATAACCAACGGTGGAACGAGATAGTCAATCGATTGGTTCCATGCCTATGGCTGACGCCAGCTAATCCAAAACTTTTCTTGAGGTCGAGGGATGGCCGGAAAGATGAGGAGAGAGGTTTATCTACAGATGAAATATACCTCCTTTCAGAAAATTATGTACCTATGCTGAAATTTCTACAATGCCAAAGAGTGCGTTCTAAATAGTGGGTAGGTAAGAGGTAATTCGTGTACATTTACTTGGTGTTTTACTTGATGCTGAATAAAAGATCGTTTCGTGACGATCGCTCGACGAAGAATATGGGCAAAAATATTAAAATTATGAGGCATATAAAGCGGTGGGTATAATCCATGGGACACCTAACACCAGCTTTCATTAAGGATAAGGATATTGATTTTAGGTGCGGGTGATTGTCTACTCAGCCTCAATTTTTTTTCAGCGGGGATACTCCATTCTACAGTACGCGTCCAGTTTCCATTAACTTGTTCAAAACTGAGGATACAGTCAAAGACTACCATATTCAAGAATGCTTCGCATATATAAATACTGTGCCAGAGATCTACGTTCACCCCTCCAGCCATGGATTCTGTGAGCGACAGCACTTCAGTTTGCCTCGTGCACAGATGCTATTCCTTATAAGGGACCTAACTACCCAGATGACTCAGGTACGTCATTTATTTTTCCACAAGATCCCTCGGAATGATTACATGATATCTAACCGCAAAGACTAGAGCATGCCGAAGCGTGGTTCATCAGACAGATACTGTACCGGTGGAGGTAAGCGTATTCTCCCTACATCAGAAGAACTTCGCTGACTATTGGTTTTATTGTGTACTTTCCTCACAGCGAAATGACACAACATAATTATCCTTTGAAATAAAGGGCTGCAATAGGAGGACGGAATGCATCCCTTCCGCGTCAGTCCATTCCCCTCGCTAGCTAGCGGGCTCCCTACTATGTTGCTTTCAACTTACGTCGTTTCGTCTATCCACTGAATACTTCTTTCGACAAGGGATGGAGCAAACAATAACCGAAGTATGATGTCAGCTTTGAAGCACAACGAAGGCTTCAAGAAACGGCAGAGCGCCGCCATAGAGAAGCCAAGGAGCAATCCCAGCCCCACACTCTGTTTACCCCTTTCGATCGCTACCACATCTCTGCCTCAAGCGCCCCGAGGCGAGACAGATGCGACCCTCACGACCAAGCGCGAGGCAACCGACCTAGTGAGCCGACTTTGCCTACAGAGTAGTCCCTTTGAAGCTAGAGAAAATCCAATTTTAGTGAGTGCTGTGGCTTCTTTTGTTGACGAGGGGATATTATCATACCTTCGAGATGCTAAAATTAGCCAGCGAAAACCTTGTCAATTCTCGGGGAAATACTTCCACCGGAAACCTTGATCAGCTAACGTCAGCCCCCCAGATCAAGCCCCCAACCAAGACCGGTCGCGATTGTCTCAAGGGACCCTCGACACATCGATGGCCGACAACAACTCGCCAGATTATAAGGCTCTTTTTCTGCAGGCGGAACAGAGACGCAAAGAGGCCGAAGAGCAACAAAAACAGGCCGAAGAGCGACAAAAACAGGCCGAAGAGCGACAGAAGCAGGCCGAAGATAAAAGCAGACAGGAGAAAGAGAGACGAGAGCAACTTCAAGAGCTCAGCCGACCGACCACTTTCGTGGAATTCTTACGCCATTCCCATGATCTGCTCTCCCGACCGCTGAGGGTCGAGACACTATCCCGGTCGACTACCGGGAAAATACCCCTTCCCACGGGGAAATATTGCCCAACACGATTGGAACACTGGACCGACTGCTCAGCACTACAGTCGGAGCTTTTCAGGTCCGTCTACAGCTATCTCCAGTTAACACCCGCGGGGGCGCCTCATTTGTTCTTATCTTTGCCTGAGCTAGAAGGATTAGGCCGACGACTTGGACGTAAGCCTATGAGTAGCGAGTAAGACCTTGAGGCTTATAAGCGGTTCGCGGTGGAAGAGCACGTCAACGATATAATAACAGAGTTATGCAAGATACCCGCTGCTCGTGAAGAGTTCTGCCTCGGCGATGGCGTCTAGTTTAGCAACCATACGAATTCATTAAACGATAATGATGCCATTGCAGCAGATACAGGTCAACCGTTAAGTGTGCACCATCCAAGACCTAACCAATTCTGCATCCATCGAGTTGACGGCCGCAACACCACTCTCCTTACGACTGTCGAGTATAAGCCACATTATAAGCTTCCTGTCTTAACACTTCGGATGGGGCTTCGCCCAATGAACTTATGGAAGGAGATAGTTAAGTCAAATAAAGTACCCACGGACAAGGACGCGAAGTTACGGTACAATACAGAGCGCCTTGCCTACGCTACCATTATTCAAGAGTATCATGTCATGATCCAGGAAGGGCTCGAGTATTCCTACGTGACTAACGGGATCGCTCGGGTTCTCCTCCGCGTTCTATATAACGACCCTAGCACACTTTACTACTTTCTATGTGATCTAAATAGCGAAGTGGATTTGGAAATAGAAGCTACCCTTATAAATACTTCGGTCGCAAGAATACTGTGTTTGTGTCTGATGGTATTCTACTCGCCTATGCGAGGTCAGGAGTGGAGGAATTCCGTACGACTAGATATTCCTATATAGAAGACCAATTTCGATTACACTCGCACCTACATTCCTAAAGATGAATTCCGGTAGCTTCCTCTCAACTCCGATAGTACCGCGCCAGAATTTCTAAGCCTAGATTCTGGTTCGATGTATAAACCTTCGTCATCTCCGCCAGATTCCCCTGAACTAATAGCTCGTTAAGTGTCTACTAGATCTCGAGTCCGCTATGATCTATCCGATGTGAAGTATCGCTCACATTCGTCACGATTACCCGACCCCGATTCGAACCTATTAACACGCCGCAAACGAACCTTTAGTTATGTATAGCTTTCTCTATCTGCCTAGCGCGTGGCTCGACAAAGAGAGATATTCGATAATAGGGGCTCAGATAGCCAGTCCCGCCACCGCGACGCGCAATTTTGTACCCAGAGATATTTACTCGGGTTATAGTCTGGCGGTCTTCTAGACGACTATTGTCCAAATGTGATGCTCTATCGTCGAAGCAAAGATGATCAGCAGCATCCGATTACCTCCGAAAATTTGGTGCGCTTACTAAAAGCACAATTGGATGAAAACATTGACCGATGCACGCCCCTTAGAGGTTGCGGGGCGTACGGTACGCCGTTCAAACTTACTTGTGTCGTATACGGCTACACTGTTATCGGAAAAGGAACCATATCGGGGCTGTGGAACGAGGTCTCCCGCGAAGCGGAGGTATACCGAATTCTGCAGAAGGTATAAGGGTCCGCTGTGCCTGTTTTCCTGGGTACTATCGCCTTAGCGAAAATTTATTTTCTTCACGGGGCTAGAGAGATTCGCCATATACTCGTGATGGGCTAGGGGGGAAAGCACAGCATCGATGGATCTGACGCCCCAGCTTCTATAAGGGATTCACCAATCGAACAGGGAAATCAGAGCTTTGGGAATCATCCATGAAGACCTTCGGCGTGATAATGTCCTGTGGAATGAAGAACTTAGGCGGGCGATGATCATCGACTTTCACCGCTCCACGTTGAAACGTCGACCGACTTTGCAGCGGCCGCGAGCCTCAAAACGACGACTACAGCAACCTGAGAGAGTTAATACAAAACGTCTTCGTGTAACGTAAAGACGGGTGCTCATTTATTGAATTAACAATTCAATTATGCATGATAATGAAGCGTGAAGCATTCCCAACCCGCAATCGCATATTAGTCCGGATTTCAATCTAGTATCCTTCTTAGTGCCCTCTTCTTCGCTGCATCTACTGGCCTCAGGTGATATACGATTCTATAGGTGTTGACAATGACGGATTGACCATCCAATTCTGGCTCTCGGACTTGACTTTACGTGATGCTATGGATGATATGAAAAAATTGATTCAACTTAAAGCATGACTGAGGCTGCTAAAGGCCGAGACGAAGCTACGGAGGCAACCACATGGTAGGCGCGATCGCAGGGAGAATACGGCGTGTCAGTCCTGACGCTTTCAATATCCAGGTGGCCTATTATAGTTTGCCATCACCGCAAGACTTCTGTGACCGAGGGATTCATTGGGCGGAAGGTTTTGGCGGTCTGGAATTGTTGGAAGGGAAAATGACCGATTCTCCTTAGTGGCCAATCTCTCGGGATTTATGCGGGGTGTGACGGCCAAATGCGCGAACCTACGTCCGCAGTTGGAGCTTGCTCTCACCATATTCCTCAATGGATCAGACCATATCGTTTGCTGAATCGACGGGGTGCCGCCTATTATTACCCGGGCTTATGTGACTGGACAGAAAGCAGCTTCATCCACAATGGTCCCGGGGAGTAAAAAAGAGGTCGCAATGTGATCGCACCTGCGGCTGGGAGACTTGGTCGGTCCGCGGCCTAGACCCCTCGATCTTCGAGCCTCGCACGGGACCCAGACCTGCCAGCACTCGTACGCGACAGAGAACCCGAAATAGAACCTTAAGTGATACATGTCAGCATCCGGTCGCGTTGTGATTTAATAGCTCGCCGGGGATTAAGTGCTCTCCTTCTCCTGCCTAGAAAAGGCCTCGATCTCAAGTATATCTTTTGGAAAAGTCCACGCGAGCAGATCGAACACGAGATACTTCTATTGCCAATTCAACTTATTATTATCGGTCTAAGTTGGACATGGTAGATAATCGGTTCACTTATCTGTCTGCAGGCGGTCTCGCCTCACGCAGAATTATCGAGGAGTCCTCATACACAACCACCCCGAGTCGGACCCCAGGCGATGCCACCCCGGCATGCGGGGAATCAATATACAAGTGTGTTTTAGGCGATGAAAATATCAAGAAAGTCGATTCAATCCTAGAGGCGGAACGAACTATCGACGGCAAGAAAGCCAAGTCGCAGGGGGACAAAAGTACAACCACCCGCGAAAGCCCAAAAAATGAGCCCGCGGTTTATCACGTCATCACAAATATACGGCTTAAATCGGAACCTCTGGATCAGTCAATAGCAAAAACTCCCCTAGTCAAGCACGTGTCGCAGTAGATCAAATCGTCCTCGGGCAGTATCTGAGTGACTGTGCATGACAGTTCCGCCATCATTTCAAGAAATCAGAATATATTTAGGATTCTGCATTTCTGGCGTCGCATCGCTGTATTCTGTTGTGGTCTTTTTATCTTTAATCATGCTTGATTCAGTACTGGACCCACTTGATGTACCTTGTAAGAATGAAAAGGGCACTAGAGATGAATCTGGAATACCAAAAGACCTTGGCTACAAAGCTTGTCTTAATTCTGTCTGGCTAATTCCATGTTATTTCCAGCACAAAGGTTTCTCTTCAGTCAGGAGCTAGTCATGAGCCCGAGATCAATTGATATGATTCAATGCCAAGTTTCTTAAACTGGCATTTTTACCCACTATTAGCTCTTAGAGGGTAGATGGGTTGGGATTTCATGGAGATGGTAGTCAAATAATTAAAACCAGTTGTGCATTACGCTAGTATAGAATGTAATCACTGCGGACTAAATCAAGCCAATTCAACCCGACCTCTCGGAAAAAACACTAATGTTGACCCACCTTCAAGGAACAACTTAAAACCTCCACCTAGATTGAAGATCTGATAGCCCAACTGGAATTTAGTAGGCAAGGTAGCCATGGTAGCCAATGGTAGCCAACACCTGAGTAGACCACAAAAGGTCGCCTCTTGTCGATAGAAGCCAAATTAAGGCGCGGTACGTCGATGGGAATATGGACAGCCGACCGAATATGATCTTTGAGCAAAACTTTCGGGAGGCCGTACATCGATAATCTGCCGGACATGCAGGTGATTTGTAATGGACAAGCGGTAACAGTATGCAGATCTCCTCCGACGAGGTTACCTGCGACCATGCCCACGACGTTCACCGGATCTCTTGCTGAAACATATTCGGGGGCATTCAGTATGGTAGCTCGAGGTTTTTCCAAGTCAAAAACGATTAGGCCGCTCTACAAAGCAACTGAGAGAACATCAATTCGTTTATCGACCCCTGTTCGACCAAGAATCTGAGCGCTCAACAAAATACCACTGACAGGCTGGAAGACTAATCTCAGAGCCATCTGCTGAGCTGAAGGGTAACAGCCCGCGTGGTCGGGGACGTGAACTGTCACGAACAGAGGATGATACCCGATTTATTTGAGCTTCTCCACTGATGGCCCAGCATTAGCTGCATTTAAGTTACGGACTTTGCAGGTAAAGATGCCTATATGACCACGGTAAGGGGTCGCACATTTCATAATGTGATCAACTGCTAGCCGGCCTTGCAGGCTCGCCATACCGCTGAGGGGTAAACAATTTGACATTCGTAACCCAGATTTAGTTGTCTCTATCATGTCACCGATCGCGTAAATATCAGGGTCACTCGTCTGCATGAATTGGTTCACAAGAACACCATCACATGCATGCGAGGCCTGAAGCTTTGGCGATCTCAATTCGAGGAGTTAGGTCAGTCGCTAGAATGACAAGATCGGCAGGAACACTGGACTTATTGGCAAGAGTAACAACAAAACCATCTTCGACAACTCATGCTGATGCGCTGGATCCTTGCGTCTAGATGGATTTGAATTCCATTCTTGACGAGTTCCGACAGTATCACATTGGCGATATCAGAATCAAAGTCCGGACAAATACGAGGTTGGGAGTGTATGATGTTCAATTGAAGTCCGAACTTATGAAGGCTTTCAACGGCCTTCAGGCAACATATCTGTGACCAATAATTGCAGCTGAGAGATAATGGTAGGTAGACACATAGTCTCTAATCTTATGAAGATCCAGCATAGTTTGGAAAGGGAAAACGTTCTCCATCTCAATGCCTGGCACTGGGGGGAACTTGAGACAAGCTCCTTGCGCGAGGATCAACTTATCGTAAGACAGT